GGCGAGCAGACCACCATTTAAGCCTCAGTACACAGCTCCAACAAACCCGGCTCCACCTAGACCTGCCATAGGTAACCCCCCACCGAACCCAGCAAACACACCTCGACCTCCTGCAGTGTGTCACTACTGCAAGCAACCAGGACATTACAAGCATCAGTGCCCTCGCTTAAACCGGGGAAGCTGGGAACAGCCAGCCCCACAACAACCCAGGGCAGCTGCTCACTGTGTGCAACAGGAACACACAGGCCCTGCCCTTAACCACGAAGAACAGTGGAGCGTATTACATGAGGTCAATCCAGTACAAGCTGGGGGGGACAACCGGGACCACCACCGCCAATGGATTACCGTCGATGGCGTGGGGGCCCGGGCGCTGAGAGACTCTGGGGCTACTTTGACTGTGGTACAGCCCCACACGGTCAGAGCACAAGCTCGCACCGGACGCACAGTCGCTGTAAGGGTGGCTGGGGGCACTATTCACAAACTGCCCACCGCTAATATGTTTGTTGATTGGGGTTCCGGGTCTAAACAACTGGAGGTGGGGATTATGCAAGAACTGCCCGCCGAGGTTTTGTTGGGAAATGATGTGGGATGCCTAACCTCTCAACTAGCCCGAGACCCCCCTGCCGAGGCCTACCCGGTTACCACCCGAGCTCAAGCCAGACTGGAAGCTCCGCTGCACTCTGAGGAGAACCAGGTAAGAGTCGAAATACCCCCTTTACCCGATCCCCCCGTACCCTTCTGGGATACCCCCCAGGGGTTTGAACAGGAACAGCGTACTGACCCCACATTAGAACGCTATAGGAAGGCCGCGGCCGCTACCCCCGAGAACAACCCGCACGAAAAATTTGAGTGGTATAAGGGGTTGCTATATAGGGTAACCGAGGGGGTGGGACAGGGGGCTACCCAGGTCATAAAAGGACAGTTAGTTGTGCCCCGTAAATTTCGGGCTGAGTTGTTAAAACTCAGTCATGACATTCCCCTAGCAGGACATTTAGGGGTCAAAAAGACCAGAGACAGGTTAACTCAAACCTTCTTCTGGCCCAGAGCTACCCAGGACCTAAAGTACTATTGTAGGACATGTGATGTATGCCAAAGAGTAGGAAAAAGGGGAGACCTTCGGAAGGCTAAGCTTCACCCCCTACCCATCATCGAACAGCCCTTCCACCGAGTAGCGGTGGATTTAATAGGTCCCCTCAGTCGCCCCAGTCCGTCGGGCAAAAAGTTTATCCTAACGGTGGTTGACTACGCCACTAGATACCCGGAGGCAGTCGCCCTCACCAATATAGAAGCCGAGACCGTGGCAGAGGCCCTTATTCAGATATTCACCCGAGTAGGTTTCCCGCAGGAGATACTCTCCGATCGGGGGACGCAGTTCACAGCCACCCTGACGCAACAACTGTGGCAGAGCTGCGGAGTGCAGCCCCTGTTCAGCGCCCCGTATCATCCCCAGACTAACGGGCTCTGTGAACGTTTCAATGGCACTCTAAAACAGATGCTAAAAAACTTTTACAGAGTCCCACAAGAATTGGGAAAAATTCCTTCCCCACCTTCTGTTTGCCTACCGTGAGGTGCCCCAGGCCTCCACTGGGTTCTCCCCCTTCGAACTCCTGTACGGGAGAAAAGTTCGGGGCCCACTGGAGCTCGTACGGGAACACTGGGAGGGCAGTACAGATGAGGGGGGAGTCCCTATCGTCCAGTATGTCCTGGA